ACTCTATGTAATATTAATTAATCTGAGCAATACTCTATGTAATAATAATTAATCTGAGCAATACTCTAGTAATATTAATTAATCTGAGCAATACTCTATGTAATAATAACTAATTTGTTCAATACTCTATGTAATAATAATTAATCTTAGCAATACTCTAGTAATAATAACTAATCTGAGCAATACTGTATGTAATATTAATTAATCTGAGCAATACTCTATGTAATAATAATTAATCTGATCAATACTCTAGTAATATTAATTAATCTGAGCAATACTCTATGTAATAATAACTAATCTGATCAATACTCTATGTAATAATAATAACTAATCTGAACAATACTCTATGTAATAATAACTAATCTGATCAATACTCTTTGTAATAATAATAACTAATCTGATCAATACCCTATGTAATAATAACTAATCTGATCAATACTCTTTGTAATAATAATAACTAATCTGATCAATACTCTATGTAATAATAACTAATTTGTGCAATACTCTATGTAATAATAACTAATCTGATCAATACTCTTTGTAATAATAATAACTAATCTGATCAATACCCTATGTAATAATAATTAATCTGATCAATACTCTATGTAATATTAATTAATCTGAACAATACTCTATGTAATAATAATTAATCTGAGCAATACTCTAGTAATATTAATTAATCTGATCAATACTCTATGTAATAATAATTAATCTGAGCAATACTCTAGTAATATTAATTAATCTGAGCAATACTCTATGTAATACTAATTAATCTGAGCAATACTCTATGTAATAATAATAACTAATCTGATCAATACTCTATGTAATAATAACTAATTTGTGCAATACTCTAGTAATATTAATTAATCTGATCAATACTCTATGTAATAATAATTAATCTGAGCAATACTCTAGTAATATTAATTAATCTGATCAATACTCTATGTAATAATAATTAATCTGAGCAATACTCTAGTAATATTAATTAATCTGATCAATACTCTATGTAATAATAATTAATCTGAGCAATACTCTAGTAATATTAATTAATTTGATCAATACTCTATGTAATAATAATTAATCTGAGCAATACTCTAGTAATATTAATTAATCTGAGCAATACTCTATCTAATAATAACTAATCTGAGCAATACTCTATGTAATAATAATAACTAATCTGATCAATACTCTCGTAATATTAATTAATCTGAGCAATACTCTATGTAATATTAATTAATCTGAGCAATACTCTATGTAATATTAATTAATCTGAGCAATACTCTAGTAATATTAATTAATCTGAGCAATACTCTATGTAATAATAACTAATCTGAGCAATACTCTATGTAATAATAATAACTAATCTGATCAATACTCTATGTAACAATAATAACTAATCTGATCAATACTCTATGTAATAATAACTAATTTGTGCAATACTCTATGTAATAATAACTAATCTGATCAATACTCTATGTAATATTAATTAATCTGAGCAATACTCTATGTAATATTAACTAATCTGAGCAATACTCTATGTAATAATAACTAATCTTTGCAATACTCTATGTAATAATAACTAATTTGTGCAATACTCTAGTAATATTATTAATCTGAGCAATACTCTATGTAATATTAATTAATCTGAGCAATACTCTATGTAATATTATTAATCTGAGCAATACTCTATGTAATATTAATTAATCTGAGCAATACTCTATGTAATATTAACTAATCTGAGCAATACTCTATGTAATAATAACTAATCTGATCAATACTCTATGTAATAATAATAACTAATCTGAGCAATACTCTATGTAATAATAACTAATTTGTGCAATACTCTATGTAATAATAATTAATCTGAGCAATACTCTAGTAATAATAACTAATCTGAGCAATACTCTATGTAATAATAATTAATCTGATCAATACTCTATGTAATAATAACTCATCTTTGCAATACTCTATGTAATAATAATGAATCTGAGCAATACTCTATGTAATAACAACTAATCTGATCAATACTCTATGTAATAATAATTAATCTGATCAATACTCTAGTAATAATAACTAATCTGTGCAATACTCTATGTAATAATAACTAATCTGAGCAATACTCTATGTAATAATAATAATTAATCTGATCAATACTCTAGTAATAATAACTAATCTGATCAATACTCTATGTAATAATAACTAATCTGATCAATACTCTATGTAATAATAAATATTCTGAGCAATACTCTATGTAATAATAATAACTAATCTGAGCAATACTCTATATAATAATAACTAATCTGAGCAATACTCTATGTAACAATAATTAATCTGAGCTGGGAATACATTGCAATCAGTTGAAAGCTCTTTGCGTCCGTTTATGAAGCTGAAGGAGCCTAGGAGCGTCCCAACTGCACGCCTCGGGACCCTGACCAAGCGTCGCTCCTGGACGTTTATGGAGTGAGAGTGTGTTGGTCTTTGACCTCACGTTACATTGATCATTTTTGTTTATTTGTTTGTTTGAATTTATGGAAGAAGTCAATAAATCCGCCAGAGGAAGCCAAAGGAATCAGCGCCTACAGAGTTTTATTTGGCCTGTTTTTAACGTGTGAGTCAAGAAGCGGATCCCTGTTAATGTGGCACAGTTTTAAATATCCTACAAGAATGGGCCACGACATAGTCAAAGACTCCGGACCGCTGGAATAACTGATGATAAAGACGCATCGCTGACTGGAATCCCGGCTTGGATATTTGTGAATGGAAGAAGGAGACTCCGCGAACAGAGAGTATGGATTGCGCAACGATCAGCTGTTGAGCCATGCGGAGGGCCGCGAGTAAACAAAAGACAACAAGAACAGTGAGTAAATGGACTAATATAATGGATGAGATGAACTTTTAAGCCAGATGGAAGATATTAAAGCTGATCGGGATATGGATATACGTTGGATGCCTGCCAAGATAAAAGGAAACGGAATGGAGCAGAGAGAAATGTTTGTTACGACGCAATGCTTGGATTAAAGTGCGGATTGAACGATCAAAAGGATTGATAAAGTGTGATCCTAAGCAGCAGGGATTTTGGGCCCCATGAAAATATATCACATTGGGCCCCAAAAATATTTGTTTTGATATATATATATGTTGTATTCCTGTCTCCCTTCAGATATGTTAAGTGGCATGTCATTCAACACAATGCTGCTCACCTCCTTCAGTTGGGAGAACAGCTGGTTCAGGTTCAGCCTTATGGGGGGACAGGGCTGCTGAGCCTAGAGATGGATCTGTAGTTTGTACAGCGCAGGTCAGGTCAGGTCAGGTCAGGTCAGGTCAGGTCAGCAGGCCACACAAAGAAAAGAGGGCAAAGAGGTGGTAAACCCTTATGCTTTCCTGAACTGAATATTTGATTGTCTAAATGTATATACTTTGGGAGATAATAACTGTCCTAATGAACCAACACTTTTATTTAAAGGTCCCATGTCATGCTTTTATGTTCTTACCCGTCCCCGTGTGATGTAGCTTTCTCTGCATGTAACTGGTCTGCAGTCACAAACCCTCAGTACACCCTGTAGCGAGTACATGCCGTGTTCAAGTTGATGTATAACATGTTTTTTTAAATACATGTTATATATCTGAACAAATTTGCTGCAATAATTATTATGTAATAATAAACTTGCAATCAGAAGTCAATATAACTAATAGATCTGAGTTGAAACAAATGTATTATTACAATCTTCTTAACTTGAAATGATGAGTTATATAAATGTAGAACTTGAAAGTGTGAGTTATAATAAGACTGAAATGTGAGTTTATTTGACAAGGAGGTAAATAAGGTTTCCTTGCTCTAATAATGTCAGATTGGTATTTGTTTCAACTCTGAGTATAAAGTTAAAACAACTTAACCCTCCTGTTGTCTTCGGGTCAAATCTGACCGATTTACTACTTTCATCAATCATAACTTTTTTGTTTTACATTCAATTGCATTAAGGCTTTATGATATCCTTCACAGTAGACATTTGAACATATCAAATTGCTGATCACCACTTTCATTGAATTTTGGATGATTTAGTCAACAAAAAAACACCCATCACAAACACACACACACACACACACACACACACACACACACACACACACACACACATACTCTAGATGTGTTCCCCCCTTATGTGCCCATCCCCCACATGGATCACACCTGGCACACGCAATACATGTTCGGTGTCTATTCTTTGTATATTTACTGCAGTTGTTCATGTGTACCAGTAGTCTGATACAATATGTACAGTTTGAAAAGGTGTTAAATGAAATTTGGTGATGATTAATGGTTTTTGTTTTAATGTAATAGCAGTTAAAACAGGACCGGTCAAATTTGACCGCAAACACCAAAGTAAGGGGGGGAACGAAGACAATAGGAGGGTTAAACAACTTAAAAAAACAATGTTAATACAACTAGAACCTTTAAGTCATATCAACGAGGTTTACTTGCATTAATGAGTTGAAACAAAGTTTGTCTTCAAGTTGACTTGATTTGCTTTTTCAAGGCACTACACACGGTTATTTACTCAACAATAAGACACAACTATCCTTGTGTTTATTTATTTGTTTGATTTTATAATGTTGGACTTTTGGGAGTGAGAATGTGTTGGTTTTGCGGCTCCAGACAAAAGAAATGGGTGGAAAAGGGGGCAAAATGGCTCTTTGGGTCCAAAAGGTTGCAGACCCCTGCCATAGTTTATGGGCGCTGCACGCTATCAATCAATCAGCTATTTCAATACTAACCTGTTATAACTAAAGCCTTGAGGTTTAATTCTCACACAGAAACAAAGCAAACCAGGAGAAACACTTTTGAAATCAGCTCACTCTCAGAGTTTCATGGATTATTAAAGAAGTTTTATTATTTTTTTGGTACATAGCAAATGACAGCGATGACAACATTTGTTAAAAAAAGCCACATCAAAAAACTTTAATTGGCGAAAGCTAAATTCTTCAGAAATGCAAAAAACAACAAAATCAATCAAAATTCTTATGAAGCAAAAACATTTCTCGGTTCCAAAATCACAACACTTGTTTACGGACAATGTTAACATTTTAAGTACGAAATAATTAGTCTCCTGAATTTGGGAAAATCCTAAAACACAAAAATAATCTGAATTCTTTGAAAAAAGTGAAATTCAAAAGAAATTCAAAATGTTTCATAAAAGTCCAAAAAGTAATGATTACATATTATTGATCATCTTGTGAAATAAGTACAATCCTCAATAATACAAAAACATGCACATTTCTTGATCACATAACAAAGCACATTACCTTTTAAAAAGGAAACTTCTACCAAATTATGTACATTTTTAATTACAACATGTTAGTATTTAATATCTTATGAATTTGGGAATGCTCTCCAATAGGTGGAGTTCTTAAAAACAGCTAAATTACTACAAAATACAGAGAAATACCATCAAAAATGATATAACGTAAGAAAAATACTGAATGATTGAAAATGATTACAAACTGAGCTCAGTACATGTGAAATAAGAACTTTGAAGAAAAGTTACAATCTTATACTTTTTGGCAAATTACAAATATAATCGGATTTCTCTGAAAAAGCTTCTTTTTTTTATACAAACAATCTCTTCAGACTAAAATCAAGCTAAATTCAACTGAAATCACATTTTTCAATAAAAAAAACATCTGCATTGTTATGAAATAAGAAGTGTTTGGACTATTTACTTTTGTTCAATTCCTATTTGTATATTGTTCAGCTAAATCTGGCCCTGCTGCTAAAAGGACCCATGTGACCCACAAGGGGATCAAATATCCTATCTCGCTGATCAGATGAATTGTTGTGAAAAACGTAACATTTTAAAACTGTACTTTGTCTTATTTGTTGATTGAATAACAAAAACCCTTGTTGTGCTCGAGGTCTACAAATCTAACACTAGGTGGCGCTGTAACGCGTTCCTCCTGTTATCTCAGGAATCACTACATTAGATTCAAACACTGGGTATTGTAACACTGTTTTTAGAGGATATTTGAACATTAATATATGGCATTCATTGGCCAACTTTGTTCCTGAGCGGCCTGGGTTGGTGTGTCTGGTTTCAAACTGCACCGACTGCATTGACTTTTAAAAATAAAACTAACTTGTGATGTTTTTTAAAGATCTTCATCTTCAGTGGGAACCAATTGGCTTGGAGCTGACAGGAAGTCAGGAAACATGAGGCACGAACACATTGCTGGTGACTTTCAGAGTGAAAGCTATATTTTCTAACGTTGGTTAAAAGCTATAAGAGCTGATAAACCCATGTGTGTGAGAGGAGCTCCTTGGAGCTGCTACTCTGCTCCCTGAGCTCCTTCCTCTTCAGCAGGAACACCCAGGTAATCCAGCTCAATGTCCTCCTGTCGGCTCGGCCTCTGCCCCCTGGTGGCCTGGAGAGACATGACAGCACACAGTGAGACTTCCTGCATCACTCCTGTTCAATAACACACACTGTTTCATTCAGTCAGTGGTGGAACAACAACATGTTTCAGTACCTTACGATTCAGTCAGTGGTGGAACAACAACATGTTTCAGTACCTCATCATTCAGTCAGTGGAACAACAACATGTTTCAGTCAACCCAGTCTCACGGCATTTCGTGTTATAGTCACGAAATTAATTTAATCTATTGATTCGTGTTCACCAACACGATTTTCGCATTTTTTTCGTGTCACACAGAACAATTTTAAAAGCAATGTATTTCTATTGGTAGTATGTTTCGTGCCTGCAACACGTCTTTTTGTCCGGTCGCGTCTTGGAATACCAGAAGCTGTGTGGTTCATAAAAACATGTTCTTACTCAATATCTTACCCTAAGCCTAACCCTATCCCTTTTATTTTAAATTGTATAATGTGGGAGTTTTTTTGCCGTCCACGAGGAAAAGAAATGGGGCAAAGAGCCTCAGAATACTGAAATCTGTATTTTTTGTCATCTTTTTTTCCTTCTAATTTGTTATTATTTGGTGCAGGCACGAAACATACTACCAATAGAAATACATTGCCTCTAAAATTGTTCTGTGTCAGAATATTGAAATCTGTATTTTTTTTTATCTGTTTTTCCTTCTAATTTGTTATTATTTACATTGCTTTTAAAATCGTTCTGTGTGACACGAAAAAAATGGCGAAATCGTGTTGGTGAACACGAATCAATAGATTAATTTCGTGACTATAACACGAAATGCCGTGAGACTGTGTTGTTTCAGTACCTAATCATTCAGTCAGTGGTGGAACAACAACATGTTTCAGTACCTAATAATTTAGTCAGTGGAACAACAACATGTTTCAGTACCTTATCATTCAGTCAGTGGTGGAACAACAACATGTTTCAGTACCTTATCATTCAGTCAGTGGAACAACAACATGTTTCAGTACCTAATCATTCAGTCAGTGGAACAACAACATGTTTCAGTACCTAATCATTTAGTCAGTGGAACAACAACATGTTTCAGTCCCTTATCATTCAGTCAGTGGTGGAAAAACAACATGTTTCAGTCCCTTATCATTCAGTCAGTGGTGGAACAACAACATGTTTCAGTCCCTTATCATTCAGTCAGTGGTGGAACAACAACATGTTTCAGTAACTAATCATTCAGTCAGTAGAACAACAACATCATGTTTCAGTCCCTTATCATTCAGTCAGACGAACAACAACATGTTTCAGTCCCTTATCATTCAGTCAGTGGTGGAACAACAACCACATGTTTCCGTACCTTACAGTAGAAGTAAAGGCCGACGGTCACCAGCAGCACCAGCAGCAGAGTCAGCGGCAGGACGACGGCTCGGATGATAAAAGGTCCTGGATCTGATCAAACACATGGACAGCATCACATCAAGAGTCAGCAAACACACAGAGACCTGAACCCACTTCAGCATGGAGACTCCTCTACAGTTATATTACAATAAACTACATCTTCTTAAGATCTTTATTCAACCCCAACCCTTTTTCCTGTTCATACCAGACAGTAGGACTGTAGGGAGAAGCTGCTAGCTGTATCTGTTGAACAGTCAGTACTCATGGCAATACTCCAATGTAAACTACAGCTGACTGGATAATGTCTGTTCTGGATTCATGTCTTCACGGTTCATTGCACTTATTGTACGTTGCTCTGGAAAGCTAAATGTGATGTAAGGGTGTGACTGCTTCAGGGCTCACAGTAAAACACTCAGTCCTCACCAGCGTTCTCCTGTGGAGCATCACGCTCTGTCCTACAGTAAACTCTAACAGCTCACCTGTGACGGTGACGGAGAGCACACGGCTCTCAGAGGAGAAGTCCTGAGAAAAAGCAGAGACATAAACACAGCTGTAGTTTCCCTGGTGGGCGGGCTCTGCAGCCGGGAACAGGAAGTGGGCAGAGTGATTGACAGCTGGCTGGGTGTAGTTGTGAGTGGAGGAGCTGAGCAGGAAGGAGCCTCCTAGGTACTGAGGCTGGATGGAGCAACTGATGGTGAAGGTGAAGCCGCTAAACACCTGGAACCCCTGCTGCTGGGCCCCGGAGACCCCGTACATGGAGGAGGACACAGAGATGTTGGGCTGAAACAGCTTATCTGGAGAGAGAGAGAGAGAGAGAGAGAGAGAGAGAGAGAGAGAGAGAGAGAGAGCGAGAGGAGAGAGAAGAGAGGAGAGAGAGAGAGAGAGAGAGAGAGAGAGAGAGAGAGAGGAGATTTGATTTGTTAAAGACATCTCTTCTCATAGAATCAGAGTTCAAAGCAAGGCCTCCCTCCACCACAGAGCTCACAGATGGAGTGAAACACTAACGGTTTAAAAACTCCTCCATGTTTCTCATCAGAGAGTGAAATCTAAAATCTACACTCACTCTTGCTTTCACCAAGAGAAACACATGTTAGTGAGTTGCTGAGCTGCTGTACTGTTTACTTTGTTGTTCCTGCTTCTGGAGATCCACATGTTTGCCTGCCCCAGCAGCAACAATAAAAACAGTCTCTGTGAAAACCTCCTCTCAGTCTGAAGACACCGCTTTGAAGACATTACAAAGAGCTTTCAGTCTGTGACAGTCCAGGTAGCAGAGAGGGATTGTCTCTTTGTCAGAGAGAGAGAGAGACTAACAAAGAGACAGAGGACATGATGTCATAAACAATGTCACTGATGGGCTTACCTGAGCAGGTGAGAGTCAGGATGATGGGAGAGGGACGTGATTCTGCTGCACACTCGCTCAGAGCAGATCCAGACTCAACACAGTCAGAGCTCATCCACCACGTAGATCTCAATGAGGACACCTCTCTCTGTCCCACAGAAACAGCAGAGCCACAGTCGAGCTCTCTGCAGGCGACTCCTGCTGCCTTCAGGGTCCAGAGAGAGTAATAGTCCCCCACTGGTCTCCATTCTCCCAGATGTTGCACCTCCAGGTCTCCTGCACAGCGACTCTCTCCTCCCTCCAGCTTAACACCACCAGGCTCTGAAGAGAAACAAGAGAGTGATCAGAGAGAGAATAAAGTGAGTTTGATGAGAACAGAATGAACCAATCACAGCTCCTCTCTACCTGAGCAGGTGAGGCTAACAGCTGTGCCAGGTGAGCAGGTGTTTCTCTCTGAGGCTGAGCTACAGTCCAGGAGAGCAGACTCATGGCCTCCACACTGGAACTCTTTGGTCCACATTGGAGCCTCCCCTTCTCCATAGAGCGCCCCCTGGAGGACTGAAGGAGCCCCACAGCCCAGCTGCCGGCAGACCACCTGAGCATCCTGCTGGTCAAAGTCAGCCTCACACACTGAGGACCAGGACGGGTTAGACTGGTTAGACTGGTTAGACTGGTTAGACTGGTTAGACTGGTAAGAGTTCACCTCCAGTATGCCTGAGCACAGACCAGTCCCCCCCAGCAGCCTGACAGAGTCTGCAGAGGACAGAAGATCAAACAGAGGTCAAAGACACACGATAATCTTTTTCATTTCATTTCAAACCTTTATTTAACAAGATTGGTCCATTGAGATCATAGATCTCTTTTTCAAGGGAGACCTGCAGCAAATAGGTTCCACATGAAACATAAAACAAACATAAAACAATAAAGGACATCATATATTATATTTACAGGCTACATTTACATAGTTATCGACATTTACAAGTACCCATGGTATCAAAAAGCATTTCACTTAGCCTAGCTTTAAAAACATGCAGAGCAATGAAATTGCTCAGTTTCAATTCTTGCTGAAGATTGTTCCAAGCAAGTGGAGCTGCGCACATAAAAGCTGTCTTCCCTAAGACAGTCCTTGCTCTTGGCACATCTAACAAGACTACATCCTGCGATCTCAGACAATAGCTGCTTGCAACTCTCTGTGTTATCAGAGAGCAGATACAATACGGGAGTTTACCCAACATGGCTTTATAAATAAACGTGTACCAATGACTGAGCCTCCGTACAGTAAGTGATGGCAAACCTGCCTTGGTATACAGTGTACAGTGTATCTCTAAAAGAGATGAAAGAATATTTCAGAGATTCAAACTGGACTCAGTTCCAACATGAGTTGATGATGAACAACAGAACAACAAAAGGACATACAGCAAAAATTACAGGGATTACAATTGACATATCTATCCACATGTACAGGTACCAACAGCATCTGATTGTGTAGCATCCAACCGAGCTTTAAAAACATGTAGTGGTACCAGATTGGTAATTTTCCATTCTTTTTGCAGACTGTTCCAAGTTAGTGGAGCTGCACATCTAAAAGCTTTCTTCCCTAAGACAGTCCTAGCACGTGGCACATTTAATAAAACCACAGCATGCGATCTCAGGCAATAACTACTTTCAATTTGCAGAGAGATCAGGGAGCAGATATAAGATGGTAGTTTATCCAACACGGCTTTGTAAATGAAAATGTACCAGTGACTGAGCCTCCGTACAGTAAGTGATGGCAAACCTCCTTGGTATACAGGGTACAGTGATGCGTAAGTGACTTTAAAAGTGTTAAATGTTGTGCATCAATAACAGATTTGATGTTGTTACATTTCTATAAAAAATGCTTTTGTGAGTGGATTTCTGAGACACCCTGACGCCGCTAGATTCACAAATGAATGTATTCAAGATGGGAGTTTCTGTAGCCAATCAGATGTCTGCATCATTTAAGCCAATCACATGAGTGCATCCCTTTCAAGCGAAATGACTGCCCTGCCCACTTCCCGGTAAAACTAAGGCATCAGAACGAAGCGGAAAACAATGTTAATATCACTTCTACTCTAGCTTGGAAGAATGCGATATGAGGTCCATCCTAAGTCTCTGAACTTGAGTCCATGCTTCCCTCACTTGCGTCCTTTCCTCCACACGAAGAGGGAGGGAGTAAGGAAATGTGTTTTCAGAGCAATGAGACGTCCTTTCCTCGGAGTGTGAAGTTAAAGGACTTCCGTTTGTGATTCCTGATCGCTGCTGGATCGGCTGTCAGTGGCTTTAACAGCTGCACACTTCTGACAGAGTTTGTGTTTGCAGACATGTTCGCTGTTCTATTCCTAATAAGAGGCTCCCAGTTATCACTGCCAGAGCAGCAGCAGTGTGTTACCTGTCTCACCTCACACCTGCACAGTGGGGGTTCTAGAACATTTTACATGGGGAGGCAAAGGGGGGTCAAGAGGTCAGGGTGGCATGGGAGGGCCTACAGTACGTGGTATTTCATTCTATATATAAAACCTATTTATTGTTAAATCATGGCCGAACACAAGTGTTCTTAATGCACAAGAGAAACAAGGTGTTCAGACAAACAAACATATAGTATAAAACAACAGAAAGTACTCATGGTACCCTAGAACTATGTTTACTGTAAGTACAGTCAAAGTACTTAGTTATAATGAAGTACACACATGACATCACCCATCTCTTCAGAGAGCTAGAGGTGACCTGTGCAGCAACACATTTCAATATGTGTCAATACTAAGAGCTGCTAGATTGAGCTGCTGTGATGGAAGATGTGAGGAGAAGAAGAACATACCATGTGGTCCAGCTGGAGTCTCCTCTGCCTCCTGATCCCTGCCTCTGGCCCTCTTTCTGACACTTCATCTGTATTCCTCACATACATGTCTTCTTCTTCACTAATGTCTTCATCTCCTCCTCTTCCTCCTGCTCTGACCCTCCTGCTCTCTTCATCTCCTCCTCTTCCTCCTGCTCTGACCCTCCTGCTCTCTTCATCTCCTCCTCTTCCTCCTGCTCTGACCCTCCTGCTCTCTTCATCTCCTCCTCTTTCTCCTGCTCTGACCCTCCTGCTCTCTTCATCTCCTCCTCTTCCTCCTGCTCTGACCCTCCTGCTCTCTTCATCTCCTCCTCTTCCTCCTGCTCTGACCCTCCTACTCTCTTCATCTCCTCCTCTTCCTCCTGCTCTGACCCTCCTGCTCTCTTCATCTCCTCCTCTTCCTCCTGCTCTGACCCTCCTGGTCTCTTCATCTCCTCCTCTTCCTCCTGCTCTGACCCTCCTACTCTCTTCATCTCCTCCTCTCTGGTACAGATGCTTGTGTAACTTCACACGTTAGGGCCATGTAGCTGATAAGTAGCATATCATAAATATAACATCAGAAAGTATTGATCAAGCGCACACAGGCAGCTGTGTTCAGACCCAGTTTGACGGTAAAGGATGTATCCTGCTTTCATTGATCTGGCCTCATGGCTGTGAGCAGTGGCACAGCAAGACCCTCTGGGGGCCCCAGAAGAGACATGCCCCCAACCCATCCAGCATTCAGCTAACGCTCTCCTAACACCAGCTGCTCCTCAAAGTACCGTGCACTGATGCATATTCACAGAGAAACATACATTTAGCTGTCAGTGGAAATTGTAAACACTGTGTCCTAAATAAAGGAGGTTAAATATAAAGTCTCTCATATTAAATATTACGTATGTTCTGATTTTAAACCTTGTGTATGTATTGATTACACCAGAGGCCTGTACTACGAAGCCGGATTTTCCTAACCTGGATATGTTGGAGTTAGCCGGTTGGCCCAATCCAAAACATACGCGCTCTCGCTAAACTGTACTACGACGCTGGTTATCAAGTGGATCGCTCAAGCCAGCCGTGTCCTATCTAGTTAGGTGCGCGTTCACATGAAAGGGGTGGTATTTGGAGCATTCGGCCAATCACAAACATGGACAAGCGTACTGACAGCGCAGCGTCATACTTCCTGAATGAAAAGTCAACTTTAATATTAGTCAAATATGAAGAAGTTAAACTTGAAACATCCATGACTTAAACACTTTATCCAGGATAAAAGCCACATAGCTGCACCTGCAAGGTGAATACAGCTGGTAACAGAAAAAGCGTTTGAATGCGTACATTAACAGGTTTATGATATCACTGCCCCGTCTAAGACACGAGTGGATCTGACTTTAATTACATTTGACTCGAGTGTTTCGTCAACTTAATGTGTTGCTTAAAATAATACTTCTGCGTACAGTATGTGACACTGTGAGTGTTGCACGGCCAGATACGGCTCAAGAAGCTGACTCAAATAAGGAAATATATGATACATTATGATGTGATATGATATGAATGATAATGGGACACATCTACGTCTGCACTCACAGTGCCGCGGACTGTACTTAATGTTACTCTGATCCGGTTACTTATGTTGTGGCAGATATTTAAGTAAGCTTTCTTAACTCTAATGTTATAATAGTCAGATTGCTCTGAAGATGGGAGGGGATATTCTATTAATTTTCACGTTCACACAGTCAGTTGATTTTTGCCGGCCGTCTTTCCTGCAACGGCAGTTTTTCTGTATTTCCTCTATCCTGTAATATGACTTGATAGCTTTAAACTCCGCACACGGAGCTCTGATTGGTCAGCAGGCGGTGCTTTCACTGAGTTGATCTCTTAGCCTGCAACCTAACCTGCTCCCGAGGAGGCTAGCCGCTCAGCATAAGTTACCATGGAGATCTAGCCCGCTAAAAAGAGAACCAGCGTCGTAGGACCGGAAAGCCCGAGTTTTCCCTGAAGTCAGCCGGCTAAGCGAAAATCCGGCTTCGTAGTACAGGCCTCTGATTACCCGTTATAAACAAACAAAGCTTCTGCCACATGAATATCAAACGGATTTTCATACAGATTGTGATGGATACTAAATGAGATGTCACTCTGCTACCAGATGAATGTTCAGTGACGTTTATATCATGTCTGGATTTGTTCTAGACACTTTTTAATCTCGGTTAACCCCTCCATGAACTGTGGTTGCTTAAAACGACTGTCTTAGATGATGTCACTGATGATGTCACTGATGATGTCACAGATAAGTTTACCTGAGCAGGTGAGAGTCAGGAAGTAGGGAGAGTAAGATGATGCTGCACACTCCCTCAGAGCAGATCCAGACTGAACACAGTCAGAGCTGATCCTCCACTCAGGTCTCTGTGAGGACTCCTCTCTCCGTCCCACAGAAACAGCAGAGCCACAGTCGAGCTCTCTGCAGACGACTCCTGCTTCCTTCAGGGTCCAGAGAGGGCCCCTCACTGGTCTCCATTCTCCCAGATGTTCCAGCTCCAGGTCTCCTGCACAGCGACTCTCTCCTCCCTCCAGCTTAACACCACCAGGCTCTGAAGAGAAACCAGAGAGAGATCAGAGAGAGAATAAAGTGAGTTTGATGAGAACAGAATGAACCAATCACAGCTCCTCTCTACCTGAGCAGGTGAGGCTAACAGCTGTGCCAGGTGAGCAGGTGTTTCTCTCTGAGGCTGAGCTACAGTCCAGGAGAGCAGACTCATGGCCTCCACACTGGAACTCTTTGGTCCACATTGGAGCCTCCCCTTCTCCATAGAGCGCCCCCTGGAGGACTGAAGGAGCCCCACAGCCCAGCTGCCGGCAGACCACCTGAGCATCCTGCTGGTCAAAGTCAGCCTCACACACTGAGGACCAGGACGGGTTAGACTGGTTAGACTGGTCAGAGTTCACCTCCAGTCTGCCTGAGCACAGACCAGTCCCCCCCAGCAGCCTGACAGAGTCTGCAGAGGACAGAAGATCAAACAGAGGTCAAAGACACACCATCAAAGAGATGAAACAATATTTCATAGATTCAAACTGGACTCAGTTCCAACATGAGTTGATGATGAACAACAGAACACATGTTTATAAGAACACAGACTGCAGGTACCCTCACATCTACATCTGATACCCTCTAGCAAGTGGTCTCCATTAGTGAACCCTTTCCCTGTGTCTTCAACAAAACCTCCTCCTCTGCAGATCCTCTGCTCCTGCTCAGCTCCACCTCTGCTCTCACACAGACACTTTCAAAAGGTTTCATTCTTTACTCTTACATGTGTGTTTCACATGTGTTATCTGATTGGTGTTTGTAAACACGTTGTTTTTCAAACATGGCGTCATCATTGAATTCAAGCTGTTGTTTGTATATTGATCTCGTGTTTTCCATTAAATGGTGAATTGTATCATTCTCGAGGTGGAGGCTCCAAATAACCCGCTGGGTTTCATGACTCTTCATATCAGCCGTGCTCCAGGCTGCAATGAGTGAAATGAAATGTAATACTGCTTGTTCATTTCTTTTGGTTCACATTACATTGATACATTTTAGAGACACAGAAAGCATAGAGAGGTAGAATCTGGAGTGAGACGGCCCCTGCTGTGAGGATGATGGTTCTGGCCTCTCCCCTCTCACTCTTTTGAAAACTCTGAACATGGATTCTTGTGACTCTGTAAATGAGTGCTATATTTTCCTCCTTCATCTGCGGGGTCTGTGGGACGTCCTACGTTGTGTTTGCGCCGCACTTCGACTATGTGAACTATGTAGGCCAATCACAACAGGCTATTTTACATTGGCCTGTTGTGATTGGATAGAACATCTCACACAACAGAAGCCTGAATACGTTAATAAATGTTGCTTCTAATTGTATTCATTTTTAAAAGGGAAACTTATTTTTGCTATTATTTTATTATTTAATTATTCATTTAGATAATCAAAAATAAAAATCCGGTAAGCTATATTTTCTCTCAGTCATTGTTGATGAATGAGTGGGTGGGCCTATAGACCCAGTAGCCCACCCACAACGCCCGGCTGCTTCATACACTGTTCATCATTTGTTATTTGGGTTTGTGTATTTTTTAATTCTAAAAACAAGAAAATGAAAATGTCATCGATGATGTCACTGATGATGTCATTGGTGATGTCACTGATGATGTCATTGATGGGTTTACCTGAGCAGGTGAGAGTCAGGATGTCTCTAGAGGAAGATGATTGTGCACACTCCCTCAGAGCAGATCCAGACTCAACACAGTCAGAGCTGATCACCCACACAGGTCTCTCTGAGGACTCCTCTCTCTGTCCCACAGAAACAGCAGAGCCACAGTCCAGCTCTCTGCAGACGACTCCTGCTGCCTTCAGGGTCCAGAGAGAGAAAAAGGCGACCGCTGGTCTCCATTCTCCCTCATGTTCCATCTCCAGGTCTCCTGCACAGCGACTCTCTCCTCCCTCCAGCCTAACACCATGCTCTGGAGAGAAACAAGAGAGTCATGTACCTTCATTGATATTAGCATATTTTAATAATTAATCATTTATACTATTAATACTTCCGAGTGATAATCAGATCATTAACTCCAGCTCTCTATAAACCGGTGGTGGGAAGTAATAAAGTACATATACTCAAGTACTGTAAGTACAGGTTTGAATTACTTTACTGGAGTATATCGTTTTATAATACTACTACATCACATGTATTCAACAAAATGAGTTCAAGTACTGTAAGTACAGGTTTGAATGACTGGTAACACTTTATATTACGGTACACATAATAACCATCAACTAGTTGTTAATTAACATGCTTATTAGCAGTATATTGGCTCTTTATTAGTCATTATAAAACACTTATTAATGCCTTATTCTACATGACCATATTCTACAAGTAATAAGCCATTAGTTGAGAGCTTTTCCTCAATAACCCTCTAATTAGTGCTTATTTATTGCAAGTAAGGAAGTTATTGTACATGAGTTTTGGTCTTAATATGCGCTGCTCAATATGGGCCTAATAAGGCAGCAGTACCACAAGAATAGTAATTATCCCATAATAACACTTAACAAATATGATCTATTCTTATGTAACAAGACATGAAACTGTAAGTGTTCATTAAGTCTAAACAACTCAAAATGAGGTATTTCTATCTAAGAACATGTTCCCTATTTTAAAGTGAAGTCTTGTTCATAACCAATAAGCTAGTAGTTTGACTCTAATTGACCTGAACAGGTTCCCTATTCTAAAGTTGCCTCCTCTTCACACTTTGTAAATACATTATAGCACACAACTACTGAGATTAACCTCAACAGTACATGAACAAAGTAGGCACACGTTGAAATATCTGTTTTATTAATGAACCTGTCAAGTTTCTCCAAGGCTGAGAACATACAGTATGCAGCCTGTACTTTCTAATAAAAACAGATTTTGAACAGATGTTATGTATTTGTGATCATACTGTGTGACCTGCTTGTATGTACTTACACACTAGGTGTACTGTTCTCTCTCTGTGTTGTACTGTCTCAGTGTGAACATAGATTAAACAGCCAGCCAAACTCTTTTGAGAGCCAGGGAATGAGCAGCCATGCTCCTTTATTGACTTATTTGCAGTCCACTGACATTCAAACGGAGTATTAATGATGGTACTTTAAAGTGGACCTATCATGCTATATTTAAATGATATATTGTAGGGCCATACCTATATAAGGTATATTTATACGTTTCTGTTTTCAAAATACCAAACAGATCATGCATTTTAGCCATGCCTCATTTCGCTCTATGTGCTGTTTGCTGTCTACGGGTCTGATTCTGCTGACCACGCCCCCCTGCAGGAGAGGGGAGACGTGCTCTGATCAAGTCAAGAGGGGGAGAAAAAAAGATCTCCGTCCTCCGTGTTTTATTTATATATACAGTCTATGGTTTTATTATATTATTATAGGCCTATAGAGTCGTTATTCATTTGTTTTAAAGCTCAATAAATAACAAAGAAGACCTTTGACCAGCACTTTTCTAATTTTGTCCGGAAGATTTAAACTTTAACGGACATCTTGACCGGCGAAACAAACTGAAACTGAAACTCTGCCGCACGGTCCCCTTGTTCCTTGGAAGAGGCGGAGAGGTGGGTGTTTGTCATCTGCTGGTGGACTAACCGGACAGAATTACAGTGCTTGCCTCGACGGGGAGGGATTGCATTGAATTAAAGCAGCGGGAGCAAACGCTTGCCTCGGGGAGGGAGAAAAAAAGCCACAGCGGAGAATAAACAGAAGGGTAACCATGGTAACTATGGGCGGGAAGTCTTCTTCGCTGCTTTTGTGGCAGACTACACCGCCACTTACAGGCCTGGCATATGTACTACAGCATCTCCAGCGCTTTCGAGCGGCAATGGCCGGCCGTGGCCCAACCCCACATTCCCCTGATAGGTGGAGAGTTGGCCCAATAGCCGTAGCGCCACCGTCCTGACGTCAGGACAGTGTTCAAATCTGGATCAATTTTTATCAGATCCGTTGCAGCCCCTTTTTTAGAGATTTGGGTATGGAGGAAAATAGAGAGGGTTGTGTTTTCTGACACTTGGTGAGTTCCCTGGAACACCGGGGACACATATTCATGTATAAAAGACGTACAAAAGTGCATTTTGCATGATTGGTCCACTTTAAGCATTATTTGATCCTAATACTTTTACCTAAGTAGATTTCAATACCAGACTTGTTCTTGTTACAGTATTTCTACACTGTGGTATCACTTCTTTTAATCAATTATAACATCCCCCCCACATCTATAAACTAATAGGACCTGAAACATGAAACATATGATTAAGTAGAGCTAAAAAACAGTTCAATCAGAAAGCTAAACGTAGAGATTAGTAGCATGTTTATGTGTGGCTCTGTCATTTGAACCCTTTGGTGAACATGTGCAATATGGGTCCGTGTACATGTGTGTTTCTCTTTTAACACAAGAAACAAATCCCCAAAAATCCCATAAAGACTTTCAACAAAAACTGAAAAAAGGAACACAAAAGCCTTTTTTCTGATTTTGTTGTTTGAGTCCAGAAACCATATCAGCAAAATCAAATTCAAGAATGGTCCGATTTTAGATTTTTAATATTGGTTCATTGGTTTTCTGTATGGAGGTAGAATTAAATATACAAAAATAAAAGCCAAGAGCATTGAATATCTATGCTGTAACATTGCAATCTCCCAACCTTTTATTTTATTATTTATTATTTGTATTTAGCCTTTATTTATAGGTGTAAAATCTCATTGAGACACAAGGTCTCATTTCCAAGAGAGACCTGTCAGTGGTAACACTACCACACAAAGTTACAGACAGACAGGACACTAAACACAGAGGCAACACTAAAATACAACATCATAAAAAATGTAGTCATTGAAATCCATATAATGTACAGTATTCAGATATAGCAGGTGCAAACACCCACAGATGATTTCTCCAGCTTTTTTAAAATTAGTTTAAAATCCGTGATGGGTATCAAACTGGTCAGCTTAAGTTCCTGCTGAAGTGTGTTCCAGGTCGAGGGGGCAGAGTATGATATGGCTTTTTTCCCAAGCACCGTGCGAACTGAGGGGACGGACAGAGTGATGTCATTTTGAGATCGTAGGCTATAGCTGTACTGTTTGTGTGATATGTAAGTGGATATGTAGAGGGGCAGCAGTCCAAGCATAGCGGTATAGATGAATTTGTACCAGTGCAGTGATCTGCGCATTGATAATGATGTCCAGTTGACTAAAGAGTACAGCGTGCAATGGTGTGTGAGGGGTTTACAGTTGGTTATGAACCTCAGAGCCCCATGGTAGACAGCGTCCAGCAGATGAAGGGAGTGAGCTGAGGCGTTTATGTACACAACATCCCCGTAGTCCAAGAGCGGCAAAAATGTGGCAGCTACAAGCCGTTTCCTCGCACTTGTGGAGAAGCAGGCCTTATTTCTAAAAAAGAATCCCAGTTTTAATTTCAATTTCCTTAAGAGATTGTCAATATGTGGTTTGAAGCAGAGATTTTCATCTATAGTAATGCCTAAGTATCTGTAGGTGTTAACAGCTTCAATGGGGTTATGCTGTGCAGACATGATTTCATTTCATTTCATTTCAAACCTTTATTTATTCGGGTTGTATCCCATTGAGATCATTCACCTCTTTTTCAAGGGAGACCTGCTCAAGTAGGTTCCACATGAAACATTAAAAACATAAACAGAACAACAAAAGGACATCATACAGTAGCATTACAGGGATTACAATTTACATAACTATCCACATGAACAGGTACCAACAGCTTCCGATTGAGTAGCATCCAACCGAGCTTTAAAAACATTTAGTGGCACCAGATTGCTCAGTTTCCATTTTAATTGCAGACTATTCCAGGACAGTGGAGCTGCGCATCTAAATGCTGTTTTCCCTAAGACAGTCCTAGCAGTTGGCACAGGTGCATGATGCAGGGAAGAACAGTTGGTAACCTTTTCTTATTGGAAAACAACATGACTTTTGTCTTATCTGAATTTAACACCAACCTAAGGTGGAACAGATGTGACTGAAAAGTGTCAAAAGCAGACTGCAGACGTTCAAATGCAAGGGCAACAGTGCTAGCACAACAGTACACAACAGTATCATCTGCATATAGATGTACCGAGGCATCAATACTTTGACCCACATCATTTATATAAATAGTAAAAAGGGTCGGTCCCAAGACCGAACCTCGAGGAACACCTCTGGGCACATTAAGAAAGCTTGAGGAGAGACCGCTGAATTTTACACATTGCTTGCGATTCGAAAGATAGTTTGCAAACCAACCAACAGCTTGGTCAGACAGGCCTATATAAGATAACTTCTGGCATAGAATGCCATGGTCCACAGTATCAAATGCCTTGGATAAGTCTATAAAAAGGGCAGCACAGTAGCTCTTTGCGTCCAAGCTTTCAACAATGTCATTCACTACTTTCAAAGCAGCCGTTACTGTACTGTGCTGCTTCCTAAAGCCTGACTGGTGAGGAGTTAGAATGTTGTTCAAGCTTAAATATTCTTTGATTTGATCATTCACCAGCCTTTCAAGTACTTTAGCTAAAATAGAGAGCTTGGAAATTGGTCTGTAATTATTCATCACCATGGGATCACCACCTTTCAATAAGGGGAGAACATTTGCAGTTTTCCAAACATCTGGAATGACATTGTTTGTTATAGAAAGATTAAAAACATGACACAGTGGTTTGGCTATAATATCTGTAGCTAGCCGTAAGAAATAAGGGGGGAGATCGTCCGGGCCTGCTGATCTTTTGGGGTCTAGGCCCTTTAGAGCCTTACAAACCTCCCCAACATTGAAGGGGTTGAAGGAGAAAGTGTGGCTACTGGAGGCATGACTATTGGCGATGGAGGGAGATGATTTACCAAAAGATAATGTGTCAAACAAGGAGCTGGACGCAATAAAATGTTTATTATTAACAATTAAGCATCTCTGTCTTATTTGACACAGGGGTGGAGTCAACAACAATGTTTGGAGGCAGCTCTAAGGAGCGAGAGCTGGCAGAGAGGGATTTTATGGCATGCCAAAATCTCCTAGGATCGTTCAAACTGTCTGTGGTCTGGGATAAGTAAAAATCGCTTTTGGCTTTTTTAATGGAAGCAGTACAGCGATTACGCAGTTGACGAAAAAGAAGCCAGTCAGCCTCAGAGCCTGTCTTCCTCGCAGCAGCCCAAAGGAGATTCCTCTTGCGTAAGAGGGCTGCCAGATCAGAAATGAACCAGGGGGTATAACGGCCCTTCACCCTGAACCCTGAACATCACCAATCAATAAAATACGATCCCATTTAAAATGAACTAAGTCATGAAGAAAGGCTTGCTCTATAAAGTGCTTAACATTTATTTTCAGAACAACACAGGGTTTAGTACGGGGGATTTTGGTATCCCTAATAGCACCAACTAGACAATGATCACTTAGGTCATTAGCAAAGACCCCGGTTGCAGTATATTTATGGGGTTGATTAGTAATTAAAAGATCGATAAGAGATGATTTTTTTAGACACCTGGTGTTAAGACGAGTAGGACTTTTAATTACTTGTGTAAAATTTAGACACATACAATGAGCTTTAAAATCATCAGACACCTGCCAACAAAAACCAGATATGTGTTCAAAGAAATGAATAAATAACATAATGCGACCTCTGTGCAAAGCTTTAGTGACCTACAGCTCAATGAGACTACATGAACCTATGCCCCTACATGAGCTAAGTCTTGTGTATCTCCTAATACGTTAAGGTGGTCGGGCGGTGGAACTCTCACTCTCTCTCCTTCTTTCCATTCCCCAGGTATAATAAGACGCAAAGACCCCAGGCTAGCTGGCCGCTCCCTTGCTAACTTATCAACCTCCCTGTTTCCTCTATCGGGTTTCCTAACCCTCACTTTCTCTCTAAGAAAACCTTGTTCCTTATCTCTTAGCTTGTATCCCTTTTTCAGTTCCCCCCCTTCCTTCTCCGTTTCTGTATCACTCCAGTGACCGGATTCTAGGGTTTGATAGAGGTCTCTTATGTACAACTACGTTAGGAAAAGAGGTATTCTTTACCAGGCTACTTTCAGGTTCTTTTATTAGCTCGGTACATTTTGCTTCCGGTGCGTCCAGCACTTTAAAATCCCCCACGGGGTGCTTCACTCCCGCTTGCACTGTTTCTAAGGATCCTACTTATCCTACACTGCACACAGATAAGAAAGACAAATAATGGCCCTGCCACAGACTGCACTAGCGAATATATTCGGGGGGCTGGTAACCCTGGTCCAGGGACGGGGTTTGTGATCTCATCTAGTGGGGAAAGCCCTACTGGGTGCCAATATGGCCAAGCAAGGATACCTTCGTGAAGAGAGACTGGAGCCTTTGGAGTGGGGACCTTATGTTCCCGGTGAATGTGTAATTGGTAGAGTTGTTAATGCCATGGTAAGATGGCACGGCCCAAACCATGAGAAGCCGGCACGGCTCCCTAATGGGCCGTCTTTGAATCCTCCACAGGATTGCCTCGTCTCGGAAAGAGAGGGAGGCAAAGATGAACTGTGCAGAGACTGCTCTTTGGAACACCACCACTAGTGTGCCCTTGAGTAAGGCACTTAGCCCTTAGTTACTCCAGGGAGAATGTCCCTGTAATTGGTCATTGTAAGTCGCTTTGGATAAAAGCATCAGCTAAATGAAATGTAATGTAATGTAATGATAGTTGGCACTTGGCCACCTCAGGATAAGGCAGCAATATCTAGCTGTCATTGCACGTGGGATGGGGAGAAATGAAGGACCTTCGAGTCCCATCTGGGACTTTTTCTGTTCAGAGCAGTTTTGTCTGCTAGTTCAATATAGGATCCAATGCATTCTGTTTTAGGTCAAATTAAGAAGACATTTGTGAATGATTTACGGCTAAAAATGTTCTTTGCTTTCAATAAAGCTAAGTGGGGACTTTTGGCTTTTCTTATTATTCTAGCTGTCGCGATAGTTTCAGGTGTTTTGTTCAGATTTGGACTGCTTCAACCAGCACTACTGTACATCACAACATTATTTTTGTTCCTGATCAAATTCACCTTTAAGATGATTTGGCTGGCCCTTAAACTACTAAGGCTAATCTTAAAAAATGTACATGTTTCTTTTTGGGTCATGGGTTAACAAAACAAGGGAGTTAAACAAAGGAAGACATTTAGGGAGAGAATCCTGTTGTTCAGGGGGAAATGGAGAGGTTGGCTTCGGTAGATCAACATGATTTCTCCTCTCCCAACTTTGCTAAAAACCTTTATCCATAAAAGCTGCTTAAGAAAACAATTATAAAGAACATTTTCAAAACTGCTTAGAGGGAGATTTCTCCTCTTTTGCCTCTCCTCCTTGCTGCAGGCTAAGCACCGGATGTTGATGTGGTTTGACATGCAGCTCTGAGATAGAGATCAGCACCCCCGCCCTTACATACTCTCACAACTCTCTGGACCTGAGACAGTGACAGCACGTAATGGAGAGACCAAACGTTACCTCTGAGAATGCTTCATCCCAGTCAATACAAGAGATCCTGATTGGAATCATTTTGACTATTTTTTAATTTAGTTTTGATTACCCCAAAGTCATTAAAGAATGGGGGATTTGTGACTTTGATCTTAGCTATCCCCATTTTACTTATTAGAAACTGGCAAAATGGCCTTATCAATCAGCCAACGCTGAGTTGTTTATTGATTTATCCATTTTTAGCAGAAAGGAGAGTTCAGTTGTGTTATTAGTTTCTTCCTATCAGGGAGCAGTTCAATAAGTAGAATAATGTTAGAAGGTTTTTAACTGCTAAAAGTCATTAGAATAGGTTTGCTCACTTTGGAGATTTTGACCAACTTCCTTTTGTAGTATCTGGTGTTTATCCAACTCCTGGTTGGTAGTCATGAATTTAAAACCAAGTAGAGGTAATACTGATATTTACTATTGCAATGTTTCAGTCCCTTTATAGACGTTCTGTTGAGTGGTTGGTTGGTGATGGACGCTTATATCAGAGAGAAGATTTATCTGATCATTTGTTGCCAGCATCTAGGAGGGGCCTCTCACTGAGACTCCGCGGGGATAACAGGGAACCACCTCGCTGGTATGTTACAGAACATACAGAAGACTATTTTGACATTAGTCCTAGGGAGCTTGGGGAAGGGTCTACCTGTCCTCCTCCGGCTAAGAAGTCTAGAACTTCTGTGCCACCAAACTAATCTTTTACAGCAGCTGACCAGACGAGGGCTCCAGAAATGCTGTGGACCTGACCTGCCGACATTGTGCCGTTAAAAGTGCAGAGTATCTTGATTTATTTTTAACATCATGTTACTATACATTTTTGACTACTTATGATAATGCTGTTAAGCCATTTAGCTTGTGTTGTTTAAACCCACTTATATACTCAGTGGTGCATATCTATGTTTTCTGATATACATGATTGTTAATCATTATATTATTTTATTTTTGAGTGACCTTATGATAATATTCAATTGTTTCGAGATAAGTTTGCTTTTTAAACTTTGACAAGAATTTGCTTTTGACTTTTATGTATTACTTTGAAATCAAATTTTGATTACATTTGTCTTCTGCTTGACTATTTCAGGTAAGCGTTTTCAAGCAGTCAAACACCATGCTGGGCCTGACACATAGTAAAAACGTTTATTAAGAGGTGCAGATGGTGAAGGTAAAGAAGTAGTGTGTCACCCTCCCTAGTGATGGTAGCAGAGAGGGGGCCGCCAGCCTGAGGGGCCAGGCGGTGGACGGAGGATTTGACTGCCCTATAAGGGTACCTGATGGTCCTTGCACTAATAAATGTGTATTGTCCTTAACCCTAATCAGCGTCATCGAATCCTGCCAGTATGCCACGGAGGCTTGAGAGCTTGGAGCTAGTTTTCTGAGGCCCAAGCCCTGGGCCCTGAGCCTGGGCTCAGGGCTATTTTAGACAGCTTTTTTAGGACATTTGACTTGTGAACCTGTTGCTTTTGTATTTTGACTTGGTGTCTTTTGTTATTTTTTGGATTCTTGTAAATCCGCTATTTTTGTTAAAACCTTAATAAAACCGGTTTGTACTTTGTACATTTCGACCCAATTCCTGGTCTCTCTCGTGGTTTCTGAAAGTATCTGCTTGGTCTTAGAGTGAGGTAAGAACACCCTTCCTTGGAAAAGGCTGACATTAGTTGATCATTTGGATTTTAAATTGTTTAAGGGGAATAGAAACTCTGCTAATGGGTTAGGCTCACTTTATTAAAGTTTGACTCTGGCTGGGTTTAATATTACTTTTGCATTGTTTTAATTGGTATAAGGCAGGGGTAGCCAACACGGTGCCCGCGGGCACTTGGTCGCCCGCAGGGGCAACGTGAGTCGCCCGTGGGGCATGTTCTAAAAATAGCTCGCCAAGCAAATCCAAAATGTATAAAATACACAAAACAAAAAAGGAAATGTAATTAAAAGAATCTACCCTATGCATAAACGAAACCTAAATCATAGCGAACTCTATCTACTTACTACAACTCTATATCTATCTAACACCCCTCCTCCCCCCACTCCCACAATGAATATCGAGCAATCACGTTCTTGCTTGATTTGTGGGACCAGCGTTGCAGTCGGGAAGAAAAGGCACCTCCCCGCTGATTTTCCTTCTGGCAGAATCTACACAACACATCAGCCCCATTGAGCAGCCTATCATGCCAGCCTATACAACACATGGGGGGCAGAGTTTTACTCTGCGTGTTGCAACTTGCATATATATTTATTGCACTTGACGCACACACGCATGGCGTTATTTCCACCTGGGACAGGGGGGAAATGTCCCCCGCTCTTTTCGAAATCCCGTTTGTGTCCCCCCACTTTAAAAATATGTTTATTTATTTTTTTAACGCAAGCCGTCGATCGCCACGGAGGAGCACACAGCCTCTGTGAGCGAGCGAGACAGAGAGAGAGAGAGAGAGCGAGAGCTAGGGAGGGAGGGAGAGGGGGAGAGAGAGGGGGAGAGAGAGAGAGCTAGGGAGGGAGAGAGAGGGGGAGAGAGAGAGAGCTAGGGAGGGAGAGAGCTTGGGGGGAGGGAGGGAGGGAGGGAGGGAGAGAGAGAGAGAGAGCTAGGGAGAGCATACCTTTATCTATTTAATATAGATAAAGTAAGAAATCATTCCAATGTGTACTATAGGACAGTAAAAAAAAAAAAAAACAGTTTGAAAGGAGAGTGATTAGTAAAATATGCATAAATAAAAAGAAAGAATGCTAACTAGGTAACATAAGATAAGAATAAACCAGTTTAAATGATTTGTTATTGGTTGTGATCATATTCTAAAGATGTTTGGATTATTGAAAAGTATACAGCTCCCTTCCATCTGAGTGTTGAGAGCTGTTTCCATCAATTCATGTTGTGCTCAAAGTGCTCCAGATTGATGCATTTAACTTCAACATTTAAAAATAATCTTCCCGGGGGTGCATGCCCCCCGACCCCCCTAGAGGAGGTGAGGACCCCCCTAGAGGAGGTGAGGCCCGTCCACCCCCAAATAAAGCAGGTTAAAATAATTAAATTGCATACATGTTCTTTTAGTAAACACTGCAAACGGGTCCCACAGACCCAAACAGCACACAAAGGTTAAAGGTCAGCATATCATCATGTTAAAATGTGCTAAATATATACACTGCAAAAAAGAAAGAAAAAGAGGAGTAAAAGTAGCCCCCGACTTGTTTTATTTTTTAAAAGTAGCCCTCACCCTGAAAAAGGTTGGTGACCCCTGGTATAAGGGGATCAAAATTGGGGGTTAGGGATTGTGGGTCCTGAAGCTGCCCTAATTACCAAGGAGTCTCCCAACGACACAGGGTCTCTCCTCCAGGGGCAGTTTAGATACTGCTCTGGGGTTCTACCAGCCCACCAACACCTACTACACTATACACTCCGTTTTGTTATCCTAGCGGTCGGACATCCGTGGCTGGAGTGCCTAAATAGGGATACGACGGGCAGTTTGGTGTTAGAGGCCACGCTGTAAACGCCCCCCTAAGCAGATTACGTTGATCTTGCGTGTAGATTCTGGGGGGTTTAGTCCTAAAAAGATTGGACGGCCGTTCACCGGAGCCTTATCAGCACCGGAGTTCGGTATCGGAGACGGCCTAGATATTAACGTTGGTTGTATCGAAGTTAGATTCCTTTTCAATGTGATGATCTGATGGTATTTATAAAGTATAATCATGAAAAGTGGTGGTGATGAAAAGGTGATGATGGTTTGTTGTTTACCTTTGAAGTATATCCTGGTTTCACAAACATGGTAAAATCATAAATGATGAAACTAGGATCAGTTAGTGGTGAAGTCTTTAAACTACATCATGTTTTATGATAACGGTTGTTTACAGACTGTAATCACTTCAAGAGTAACAGGGTGAATAAACTGAACACTTTACCTGTTGAGTTGTGTTCTCCTTCAGCCTGGAGTCCTGAGGAGAAATCAGAAGATAAGGTAAACAGAGTTTTCTATCATCTCAGGAACACGTCAGTGAACTCACTCTGGAGTCATTTCACCAGTTTACTCTAGCTGAGAATAACACGTTCATACAGAGAAGTCACATATTCAGAGTTAAAGCAACAGAGAGCAATTAAAAATGCAAAGAGACAGTACAAAGACAAGGTGGAATCTGACTTCAAAGGCTGTAACACTAGGAATATGTGGTCGGGACTAAGGACAATGACTGACTACAAAGGAGCAGCGGGGGGTGCTGCGGGAGTGTCTGCGTGCGCATCTCTCCCAGATGAGCTAAACAGTTTTTTTGCACGCTTTGAGAGCAGCCAGGCTGTTGAGGTACAGAGGGACCAGGAGCTACACTGCCCTTTTGTTTTAAATAGGGCAGATGTGTGTAAATCCTTTAAAAGGGTTAACCCACACAAGGCTCCTGGACCTGATGGCATCCCTGGCCGTGTTCTCAGGGTGTGTGCAGTTCAGCTGGCAGAGGTGTTCACAGACATCTTCAACAGGTCCCTGCTGCAGTCTGTAGTCCCCACATGTTTTAAACACTCCACCATCATTCCTGTCCCCAAAAAGACAATCATCACCTGCCCCAACGACTACCGCCCAGTAGCACTCACCTCCATCATAATGAAGTGCTTTGAGCGGTTAGTCAAATTATTCATCACCTCCTCCCTCCCTGAATCTCTGGACCCCCTGCAGTTTGCCTACAGAGCAAACAGGTCCACAGACGACGCCATAGCCCTCACCCTCCATACTGCCCTCTCACACCTGGACCCGAAGAACAGGAAAACATATGTGAGAATGCTATTCATTGACTACAGTTCAGCATTCAATACCATTGTGCCCTCCAAGCTGGCCATCAAGCTCAGAGACCTCGGGCTCAACAGCGCCCTCTGTGACTGGATCCTGAACTTCCTGACGAGCAGACCCCAGGCAGTGCGGTTGGGAAACATCACATCCTCCACCCTGATTCTAAACACCGGTGCCCCTCAAGGCTGCGTGCTCAGCCCTCTCCTCTACTCCCTGTTCACCCACGACTGCGTGGCCACACACAGCTCCAACACCATCGTGAAGTTTGCTGATGACACGACCGTCATCGGCCAGATCACAGACGATGACGAGACGGCATACAGAGAGGAGGTCGAAAACCTGACATCTTGGTGCCAGGATAACAACCTCCATCTCAACATCAGCAAAACAAAGGAGCTGATTGTGGACTACAGGAAGCAGCAGGGAGAGGGACACGCCCCCATCGCCATCAATGGGACTACGGTGGAGAGAGTCAAAAGCTTCAGGTTCCTTGGGGTCCACATCACTGAGGACCTGACATGGTCTCTTCACACCACCACCATCACCAAGAAAGCTCGACAGCGGCTCTTCTTCCTCCGCAGGCTGAGGAGGTTCAAAATGGATTCCAGGATACTCTGCAACTTCTACAGGTGCACGATAGAGAGTATCCTCACTGGCAGCATGACGGCCTGGTACGGCAGCTGCACCGACCTCGATCGTAAGGCTTTACAGAGGGTGGTGAAAACTGCACAGCACATCACCAGGACGGAGCTGCCATCCATGGAGGACCTTTACTCCCAGCGGCTCAGGAAGAAATCACTACGGATTATCAAAGACCCCCATCACCCCAGCCACAAACTGTTCTTTCTGTTGCCGTCTGGCAGACGTTACCGCAGCATCCTGGCAAGGACAAGAAGATTCGGAGACAGTTTCTTCCCGCGGGCAGTGAGACTGTTAAACAATTGAACTGTTGAAACAACATCAAACATTCATCTGCTACTCAGTAGTATGTACCTAATACCTA